ATATATATATATATATATATATATATATACCAACAGGCCATAACGAAAATAAACAACTCTATTTCCTAAATGTAAGGAGTAGAAGTCAAAAGTGTAGTATAAATGTATACTTCATTACAGTAATAAAGTATTTCTACTTTGTTACTTGGTACCTCTGTATAATACAGATTTAAAGAACTTCATAAGTAGTATCACTTTTTTTGGAAACTACAGCACTTTTTCTACCCTCCTGTGATCTTTTCTCATTTAGCGCTTCTCTTCTTACTCCTTTACTAACTTAAATATAAATGAACTTATTTATTCATTTAATAGCAGCTTTTGTTTTATGCTTTATCAGACGATTACACTGAATTTTAGCTGCTTATTAACATGCGTTACTTAATAGCTGCTGCTCTCTTCTTCCTCACACACACGCTAACACACATCGAGGTTATTAGGAAGGATTTTCTTTCTATCTTTAGCCTTGCTCCTCCTCTCTTCTCCTCAACTTCCCTCCCTATCCATCCATCCACCCCTCCTCACCCCCGCGCCCAATTACCGGCTGCCATTTTACCTCCAGCCTTTCTACAGTCTCTGTTGCATCTCCTGGTTTTTAGTTTGAGCTGCAGGGAGAAGTGCAGAACTTGCTCTTATATATATTCTAAATCACTGAAGTGTCACCGGCTTCCTGGTCAGACTTGACCGGTCAGGCTTTGCATCACTTTCCACAGATTTCTACTCAGTTTTTCCACTTCTCTTTGGATCATGTTTCCTGATTATGTGAGTAGCTTCTTTTGATGTAATGTGGCGGTGAATCCTTGTCGGTATGACCCGAACCGTTTATAGAAAAAGAAATTTCTTAATCTTATTTAATAATAAATAGGAGGAACTTTTATAGTTATTAATGTCTACTCTTTATACTATAAAGCTCAATCCTGCTGCTATATTCTGCAGAGGAAGAGTCAGACAAATTAGCATAATTAAAAGTTTATTAATCAATAAACCTGTTTATATGTTTTTAATCTGATGGCAAACCGTCAGTCTTTATTTTTTATGTCTAAAACCTTTTTTTCCAACCTTTTGAAATGAATTACTGTTAAATATGAGGTCACTTTAAATGATGCACAGAGTCATAACGTTTTCTCATAAAGATGGCAAAGATTTTGGTTAGTTTTAAGTCTTATAAATGCATTAAACTATAATAACCTTTTAATGTGTGCCTTTAAATGTACAGGTCAGCCTGTTGAGTCTTTAGAAGGTAAACCAATGAGAATGCAGGGCAAGCTAATTGGCTAAACCTGAATAGCCTGTTTCTATTCAGGAACTCCATCAACCTGCTTAGACAGTTACAGACCTGAGATTCAGTTCAAACATGATGATGTGCAAATGCAGTATTGTTTATCATATTTATTCTTAAAAATATAGTTCTTCATAGAGAAGAACCTATTTTTATATGTAGCCGAGGATCTTCGTCATCTCAACAATAAGCATAATGGGGATTACACATTAAAAGCTGCAAAAGCAAAGAGTTTTAACTTAAATAAATGTAAATGCAGTCCTTTGTTCTGTCTCCTTAAAATGTTAGGCAGCAGCAGAGGTTATGCTTGCTGAATTAGCTGAAGGATTAAGAAGCATGGTGTCACGTTGGGCTTGTCTGAAGCTCAGCGGTGATTGGGCTCTGAACCCCAGCCTCATTGGGCTTAAAATCCCGCTAAGCCTGCTGATTACATTCACCTTTAACTCCGCTAATAGAACAATATTGTTGCTCTCTTTGGTTTGAACTGCAAATGGAAGGTGAAATAATGTTAAAGCCGTTAAAGTAGTGTTTTTATTTCCATTTTTATCTGTTTAACTAGACTAGAACAATTTTTCTAGATCAAACCTGAATCCAATTTTGTTTAGATACAGAATTATTTTCTTTGCTTTTCATTAAATTCATATAAACTATTCCTTAACTTAGTATGAATCTGTTAACGTCCCCCTTTTTGCATTTTTTTTTTGTCCAATAAAATCACATAAATGTTAGAAATGTTAGAACACATACATTAGATTGGGTGTCTAGGACCTCAGAATATACTGGAAACAGAATAGGTCAAAGAAAAAGGCTATTATTGCAGCTTAAATGACTTTGATGTGAATAAATCCAAGCATGTATCAAGCTGTCCTTATAGCAGACGCCCTGAATCCTCAGGTACATATGCTGATTTAAGTATTATTGTCTTTTACAAAGTCAACAGCGAAAAAATAAAACTGCTTTATTATGGTTGTTTTGTCTTTTTGATCACTGCTACATGCTTTGGTTACTCTACAGGTGTTTTTGACATCAGAGCATGCAGTCGGTTCAGACAGGGTTGTGGGACCCCCACCCCCCATCTAAACATGCTTCGCCGCTACCTGCGCCGCCGCCTTCCAGTTCACGCCACACCCATGTGACCACAGCCACTCCAGCCAAGCGGATTACTTTTTATAAGAGCGGCGACAGCCAGTTTGGGGGCGTCCGGATGGCTATCCACAAACGTAGCTTTAAATGCTTTGATGCCCTGCTGGACGACCTTTCTCAAAAGGTTAGTGGAATAGGTATCATGGAGGGATCTCTTTTGAAGGCGACTCTTCAGATGAGCTTTATTGTTTAATCTTTGACCTGCAGCATATCTCTTATACTGGAACACACATGCTTATATGAATACATGTTTACATTTATCTGTAGGTGCCCCTTCCATTTGGAGTGCGGACTGTGACCACCCCCAGAGGTACTCACACCATCAAACACCTGGAGCAGCTTCAAGATGGCGGCTGCTACTTGTGCTCTGACCGGCGCCAGGCTAAGCCCATTAACATGGAATTGGCCGGCAAAGGCCAAAGCGTTTGGCACTATCAGAACCGGAGACCTCAACGCCCTGAAAACTCCTCTGGAACCCCTCCTGGCCATGTGCATTTGCCTTACAGGCAGAGGCGGATTTTGCTGGTGAAGAACAGTGAACCGGGGATAAGAAGGAGCATCGTGCTGAGCAGGAGGTCAACCAGAAGCCTGAGAGCTTTCCTGGATGAAGCGTCTGAGGTTATGCAGTTTCATGTTCGCAAGCTCTACACTGCAGAAGGACGCAGGGTGAGAGAGAATTCAAGCTCCTTGTTTACTAAATAACTGCTTAAAATGCATTTTATACTCTAAAACTCCTTACACTGTATCTTTCTTCCTAGATTGACAGTGTGCAAAGCTTGGTGACTTGTCCTGGCTTACTGGTGTGTGTTGGACGGGAGGCTTTCAGCCCTATGCTCATAAACTTCATAAAAAAGACTTCAGAGGAAAAGTTGCCTGGTTTGGGGAGTAAGTCTCCTGGTCTGGGTCCAAGGATTCCTGGTAATGGCGCGAGATCTCCTGCTACCCAAAGCATAAGGTCCCCACCTCATGGAGCTCAGTCCAGAGCTAGTGAATATGATGAGGGGAATGAAAGCAAGAAAAATGGTGAGTTGTTTCCAAGCTGCAAGAAAAAGCAGTTCACATAGATGGTATTTCACCTTTAAAATGACATATTACTTTTCAACTTGTTTACCAACAACAAAAAAAGGAAAGAATACAACTGCTTTTGGCATTTACCTAATCACATTTAGTTACTTTAACACAATTGTTTTACATCCTACCCTGCCAACATGAAACAAATGTGTTAAAGTAACTAAATATGATTAAATAAATGCCAAAAAACGGTTTTATTTTCTTATGGTTTTCATATGGGGTTTTAGTTTCAAGTTCAGTTTAGTTGTGCAGGTTGGAGATCTAGTTTACAATTTGTGGACTATTGTTGCATATTCCCTTTTCAGCCACAGCGACACATGTTTCCATTTAATGTTGTATGATGCACCTTTAACACATTCCAAGGATTATGTTGGGAGCATCTTGCTGCCCTATAAAGGTCAGAATAATGTCTAATTTAGCTCATTTTAATAGTTAGTACATATATATACATTATCTACTCTGTGAACTATTTTCAAATTTCAATTCTCGACTAACTGGTGCGTTAAAACCAAAGGTTTTTTGAGCATTAGGGTGAGTTAGGACACAGCATTAGGGAGTGATGAGAAGTCAGCCTGATTTGAGTGTTGGAAGAGATTAGTCTTGCTGTGTTTTTAGCATTGAGAGCAGTGTGTTTGAGGCATTTATGTGTCCAGAGTGGTGGACATTAGAGTTTGGAAATCTGAACTTTTAGCTGGATGCTGAGTGTCAACCAATTAGAGAAGCTGATAGAGGAGCTGCATGGGAGAAAGACATTCTGGCCGTTTCCCAATATGCGTTCTCATGTGCTCGTGAAACTTCATCAGCCTCAGCCCTACTACTGTTCCAATTCACAAGAACAGCAAACCGAGAACGGACAAAAACCCCGGGATGTTGTTATCACCACCTCCCTCTATACCCAGCATGCATCAGAGCAGACTTGTCCATTCTTGAGATTGACAGCTGTCCCAGCATGCACTGCTGCAGCAGCAGCTTAGAATGGAGCGCTTAGGAGTATTAAGTTAAAAGTTCTCTCTTCTGTTGTTGTTGTTCAATAAAAGTTTGTTTTAAGATCATTTTAGACAAAAACATTATACTTTTAAGCACCACTGTATTGTCCCTTACTGATTTAATGCGTAATTTCAAAGAAATTTTCTGAAGTTGAGAGGACCGCGGCAGCCTCCGAGCTAACCGTAGCCTGTACGCAGCAGCCCTCTCTCAGCATAGCTGTGTATGAAGTACCCTGGCTCTGATGCCGACTTTAATTTGTTAATTATCATTCCCCCAATAAATGAATAAAGAATTTATTATTATCTAGAGACTATTAACAACAGGAGGCAAAATGCAGGTACAGACAAGTTGAACATGTGGTGAAGTAACGTGAACGCTTCTGTTCCAATTGACCCATACTTATCCTGCGTGCTCCTGTTCTACCCAAATCCATACTTTCCTGTGTTCTTCTCAAGAACGTACTTGGCAAGGACACAAGTCCATACTTGAATTGAGCAACGGCCTATATGTCTAATCTGTGATCTCTGCTTCTGCATAGTGGTCCCAATTAAAATATGAAAAATGAATATATATATAATGGGCTTAGACTCCACTGGTTTGATTTAAAAAGCTGAGAGAATGTCTTCTTTGGCCGCGTTTACACAGCAGCCTGACCCAAACTCGATTTTTTTGCCCATATGTGAAATGTAACTGATCTTTTCATGGCAGTTTGAACAAAACAGATCAATTTTTTTTCCACTGCGACCCAGACCACTTGGCCATGTGGTCCTGAATTCGATATGAATCTGAACCTTTCAAATGCGACCTGTGTCTGAATGGCAGGTTGCATTCACGCTCAACAAAGGTCACTATTCTGCATCTTGCTACGCAGAAGTGGGAAGAAAAAGGGTTACACTTACATTGTATGAATACAGTTCACAAAGAAGATCACATACAAGTTGCATATATTTAGAAATGTGAATGGCAACACAAAATAAATGGATTTCACACAAAAAAAATCAAATTTAGCATTAAGGCTTGCAGTGTAAATGTAGCCTAAATGTGCAAGGAAAGAAGAGAGCTCTGATCACAATTACTTCACACAAATATTATCCTACTGAACTATAGCGGAGCAGTTAATAATGCCTACATTGAAAAAACATTTCATATCATAAACCTACAACACTTTACAAGTGGCAGCAGGAAATAATTTATACCGAACACCTTTTAAGTGTTTAGTGTAAACGCAACACAAGAATCTGCAGGAAATCAAACTATTTTTTTTGCAAATAAAGACAGGCAGGAATGAATTTTTAAGAAGCATTTCTACATGGCTCTGCATACCAATCATACGCTGTCTCAAAAGTGTATTTTCATTTTCCATTTCAGTTAACTTTGGTCTGGAGACCAAGAAGAGCATCATCCACCCTCGATCTGATTCCTCAACTCGCTCTGCTCGTTTCTCTTTGTCATCTGAAAAGTCTTGTGGTGTTTTCCCCCAAGCAAGACCATCAATAACCAACGATGACATTGAAAAGCGGGTCGTTGTCAATAAAGACGGCAGTCTATCAGTAGAGATGAGGGTACGTTTTCGCCTCCAGAATGAAGAGAGCGTTGAGTGGTCCACTCAAATAAAAAAATCTCCTTCTCTTACCAATGATTGTTGCCCTCTGGGTCAAGCCCAGCAACATTACCTGCAGCAAGGTACCTCAGAAAGCTGTTCTGACCCCGATACAACACTCTATGAGGGCGTTAATTATTCCAGAGGACCATTTGCATTGGAGGAGAACCAATGCCAGTATTGCTACCACAGACACGAATTTGATTTGTGGCAAAACCCCACACACAAACATTCCCCTGCACCCCCTACGCACACATCAAGTCATACAATGATGAGACATACAACCTCTTCAAGCTCTTCTTCTTCATGCAATTCCAGAAGAGTGATTCGGTGCCGTGCACAGGTCTCTGGGTCTCCTCGGGGCTCTGGCTTAGAGCAGAGACAGTTAGTCCAGGAAGAGATGTGTCTGACAGAGCAGGTGGAGGAACGAGTAGAGGTGGCACAGAAAGGGGACACCCAGGTAGAGGTCTGCAAAGTTAGCCGATGCTGCAGCCGAACAGAGGTGGTCGCTATAGATAGCAACCTCCGACCACCCAGCGGGAGGTCAATGGATGGGGAGTTAATGATGGTCGAAGATGAAAACCGATCACTTTCTGCAATAAGCAGCTCCTCACACATTCTACAGTCTCTGAAAGAGGACCAGGATGATGATGAGGATGATCTGCCACCAAGTGCTTCCCAGTGCTCCCATAGAAATGAACTATCCCCCACTCCTACGCCAGCAACTCATCCTAGTGAAGCGCCAACAAGCAACATCTCAGCCTGTTCAGTGCAGTCACTCAAACTCAAGAAGAAGGAAGAGAACAAGGGAAGCAGGGCTTCATCCTGTATGTGTGGAGCATCCATCCATCCCTCAACAGGTGACCAAGATCAGATGGATCTACTGCCCAGTTCCATGTCCCAAAAATCAGAGGAAAAAGGAGAAGTCATAATTGAAAATGAAGAAATCCGCAGGAGTCTTAGTAGTTTATCCAAAAATACTGGACTTTCAGCAAACTCACAGAAATCATGGGCATCCAATATTTGCCCAAACTGTGGAGGTTGCAAACGTCCAAACAGCTCCATATCAGCTCAGACTGAGTTGTCTGCTAAGTCTAACAGGTCCAAGGACACAAATGAAATTCAATCACTAAAAACAAGATTGGAAAAAGAGGTAGAGAACACCACAGAGAGATCACCCAGCTCATTGACAAGCAAATCTGGTGCTTCAGTCAAGTCCCACAAATCTAGCTGTCCATCAGTTACTAAAGAGAAGTCCCCATCAGATAAAACAGATATAGAAGAAGGTGACACAGATAAAAGACCTCACACTAGCCTTTCTGTTAAGTCAAATGCCACTGGGAAGGCTGAAAGTATCCTGTCGGATAACTCACATACGTCAAAGGTTTCAGCAAAATCTGTCTCATCGTGCAAACAATGTGGAAAAACAGGAACTCCAGAAAGCAATGAGAAAGATGGACTAAGCAGCGTAAGAGAAAATGAGGAAGGACCAGGAGAGGAGGACAGAGCGACAAGTACAATGTCAGCAAAGTCAAATCTGTCCGCTAAGTCGAACAAATCCCATAGGTCCACTAAATCTTCTAGAAAATCAAATCGTCCTAGGTCAGAAAATGGCAAGGAGGCTGAAGAAAGTAGTACAAGTCAAATGTCTGGAAGATTATCTGTTACTACAGAATCCTGCAAGTGTAATGATAATGGAAAGGCACTGTCTCCAATCTTGAAGGTGAGAAACAATGAAGAACATATGAATAACAGGCCAGAATGTATGATGGCAGATCATTTAGAAGAGGAAAGGAGGTCAAGCAGTGCCAAGTCATGTAAATCTGCTACTTCCACGAAATCTCAAATTAAAATCGAAGAGTTTGACAGATCCCCGAGTGCTACCTCAGAAAGATCTCACACCTCTGTGAAGTCCTCCAAGTCAAAGAGGTCAAACCACCCAAAAGACTCTCATAATGACTCCGATCTTCCTTTGACTGAAACAAACAAGAGGCAAACTGAAAATGAACCTCATGAGGTCCTGGAGAGTGCCATGTCTGTAAAATCAAAAACATCAGTCAAGTCTGGTGCTTCTACCAAGAATCCCCCATCTACAAACCGTGTTACTATCAAAACACAAGGAGCAGATGAGGATGAAAATGAGGCAAATGATGGAGAACCTTGCTCAAATATTTCTTGTATCAAAACACTACAAGCTGGTGGGAATGTGAATGATGCTGCAACAACAGGAACATATTCTATAGATCCTCATGGCCAAACACTCTCGCCAATAAGAAAACCTTCATCCCGCTCACATTCTGCCTCCACCAGAGGTTCTCAGTCCCCTGTGCAAAATTTGTTTCCTAACTCTGGTGCTGGTGAGCAAAGAGGGCACAGTTCCTTATCTGTCCACTCTAAAACCTCTAGTAAAGTAAGCAGATCCACTTGCAGCTGTGGAGGAGGCTCTGTACTTGAAAAGAACAATAAGGCAGAAGATATAACGAATGAGGGAGATCTGAATAGCTCATCAACAAGACAAAGGAAAGAATCAGGATGCACGGATCATACTTTAAGTCGTAACTCATCCGGATCAATCTCTTTGGGGCTTCCAGAGGATCAGGAAACAGCTGGATCGGACTGTGGCAAATCTAGTGTGTCTTTTTGCAGCAATGACAAAAAAAGTCCTTCCCTTCTCAATCCTCCTGTTGTTGATATCCCAACAATTGAAGCTCCCCGAGGAGGTAAAGAAGAGGGTGGAGAACAACCCACAGAGAGAGCAGGCAGTGGAAGGAGAGTAAAAAGCAGCAGATCTCGTAGATCATGTTGCACCTGTGGTGTACAGTCGGTAGCTCAGTCTGAGAAAAAGAGCACCAGTTCTCATCCTACTAAAGATGTTGATGGAACAGAAAGCATGACGTCTGCTGCAACAACAAATGTTAGCCCAACAGATATGCCAAACAGCAGAAGCTCATCAGCAGTGTCAGGAAAGAACGTTAAAAGAAAATCACCTTCTGGTTTTCCTGCAAACAATGATAATGGAAACCACAATACCAGTAGACCAGGAAGTAAGACCAAAGGTAAAGAGGAAAGCACAGGAAGTGTCCACTCCCAAAGTCACAGTGGTATTCGGCCTAACTCAACAGCTTTGGTGCAGTCAGAGACAATAAAACCTTCAGAGGAGTGTACAGTACCTTTGGATTCAGAGAAGCTAGGAGCTGACAAGTCGAGTGTAATAGGAAGCGAGTGTGGAGGTAGCAAAGTGTCCAGTTCTGGGCAAAAAGACACCCCTGTCAAATCATCAACTCCTTGTTCCTTACACAGCCCCAAACCAACCAGTAAAGTCAAACCAGGTACCGACAGTACCCTGTCTCACTCTTTGTCTGCTGCTGACCTATTTAAAGAAAGCTTGGCTGCTGCACACCAGCAGAGTTGCCAATCAAAAGCCAGTAAAACCAGTGACAAGGCCCACAGCGAGAAAAGTGGAAGGTCTCAGAAAAATAAGAATGGAATTGATGAAGACGATGTGATAGAACTGACACCTGAGTGTTTGCCCAATGCATCTCCCAATGAGGTGGTTAGTGACTGGTTGAGGAGCATCCCTGCTAACAGTAGCATGCTTACACTTGGTAATGAGTTAAATGAGGAAGAAACAGAGCAAGAGGAACAAGAGATGGAGGAGGCGCTGACAGAGGAAGAAAAAGGGGCAGAGGAGATGGATCCTGAGGACGACAATGTGGAAGTAGGGGAGAAGACTGAGCCACAAGAAGAGGAAAAAAAGGTTGGAGATGAAGGAGCAGACCCAACTTCAGGCAATATAGCGCATATATCTTCTCATTCCAGGAACTGTCATTCTTCTGTAGCACTGATGAAGGTCCTCCTAAGCTCCTCTCTGGGTCGATGCTGGAGCATGCCTGAGGTAAGACAGTACCTCTGACAAAACATGAAACTTTACCAAAGAAAAGTACAAATAAATTTGGATTCTAAGTTATGCTTTGGTGCAATCTGGGTGTATTGTATATGTAGGCTTTTATTTAAAAAAATTTACAAAAACAAATAGATTTAGACAGATTTGTTGACACACCTAGTTAGGATGAGTAAAAATGCGTGAAATAGATTGGTATTGTGTTTGAAATTAAGATTGTTCTAAAGAGAATTTGCATGTGGTTTAAGCACACATATGGAAACGCTGAGGTGTTGTAACATAACGACATGCAGTTAAAGGGTTTGTTAAGGTCAAAAGCCTTTCTGGTCAAAGATAGTCTCAGTTTCATTGCTTCTTTGTATAACATTTAGAGTCAAGCATGAGCAGTTAAATCCTGGAACCATCCTGGTTCTAATGTAAAATTGTTAATCCTCCTACATCTCGTCACTATTTGTGTCAGCCTTGATGGAAACAGCTGCTCTCACATGTCTGTCATATACAATGAGTATTTTTCTTTGGCTGGCTGTTCTTTGATAATTTTTTTAATTCAGCCACATTACTTGTTTGGATGTTAGAGAATCTCAATAGATCTAAGCACTGTCACCCTTTGACTGGGGCATATCAAAGCCTCGGTTTAACATTTTAGTGCTGCCATTTAAATAAATGTGTGCAATGTGCATTTTCTGCCTTGTGTAGGTGTCTCCAGTTTACGGTCGCAGACTGAGCACATCGGCCAGGGGGCTTTTGGATTGTTTGGCCCAGCTCCAGCTCATTGAGCCTATGGTCAGCAGCCATGAACAGAAGGATCGGAAGCAGCAGTATGATGAGATTATGGGCACTCTTCAGTCCCTGTGGCTATCTGAACCAAAGAAGGTTGAAGGCAAGGTGACAAAAGACGGTGGCACAGAGCAGGTGTCTCCACCAAGGTCCTCTTCTGGTGTGGGTATGAGCAGCGGTTCAGCTGGATCAGGGAAGAGCAATGGGAACCAAGGAGAGGATGTAAAAGAAACAGAAATCCTGCATGAGGAAGAGGCAGTGGGAAAGGTTGTTGAAGAGGTGGACGGAAATGCAGCAGGCAAAGATACAGAAGTTGAGGAGGCACACCAAACAGAGCCAGCCGAGGAACCGATGAAGAGTGAAGAGCAAAGCCTCCCTCCTGTTAGCTCAAAAGTCACAGATAACCCCTCATCATCAGAAAAGAGCTCTGCCAATGAAGGCTCCAAATCACCCACAGATAACGAAAGAGATACTCAAGAGGACTCTGGCTCAGGGACCCCCCCAAATGCTCCACGGCCACCTTTATCCAAAAGATCATCCCAAGATCCAGATCCGGTTTGGGTACTAAACTTGCTGAAGAAGCTGGAGAAACAGTTTATGAGCCACTACATTGAGGCCATGGCAGAGTTTAAAGTCCGCTGGGACCTTGACGACAGCCTCATCCTGGACACCATGATCTCCGAGCTGAGGGAGGAGGTGAGCCGGCGCATCCAGAACAGCATCGAGCGGGAGATGAAGAAGATCCAAGGTCGAGCCGGTAGAGGAGGGAGGTCACCTCGGCCACCACAGTTAGCAAACATGTCTCGTGATTCCACCATGACTGAGAAGAGGCGTCGGATGCTGAAGGTAAATACAATACAGATCCAATACAATGGAGTAAAAGGGAAACCATAAACATCTTTAAGGCTTTTAGATAAAAATATGAAAACTGCACTCTAAAAACTAGTTTAAAAGCTACAGTGTGTAATTCTCAGCGACATTTAACAGTCAGACTGCAGCCACATGAACCGCCCTCCTTCACACTGCCTCTACCCTACACGATACGGAGGCCGTCATGGTACAAAATGTCTTATGCAACCTTTACCAGTTGATGATGAGAATTGTTTATATTAGATCACAGGATCATATCCATAAATTCTTCAATACTCTTGTCTCAAGAAAATTTGAACATTTGAAGATTAGGAAGTATCATGGGCTGCTCAGTGGAACAGTGGGTAGCACTGTTGCCTTGCAGCAAGAAAGTTGCGGGTTTGATTCCCGGCCCAGGGTCTTTCTGCATGGAGTTTGCATGTGTGGGTTCTCTCTGGGTACTCCGGCTTCCTCCTTTAGGTCAAAATGTTAGGTTAATTGGCTTTTCTAAATTCTCCTTAGGTGTTTGTGAATGGTTGTTTGTGTCTGTGATAGACAGGCGACCTGTCCAGGGTGTCCCGCCTCTCGCCCATAGACAGCAGGAGATAGGCAACAGGACCCCCGTGACCCCACTTTGGTATAAAGTGTGAATGAAAGTATCATGAATTGACCACTCTTTTAGTGAAGGATGCTGCAGTGACAACCCTTTTTTAAATCAAAAAGGAGAAAAGAAAAAATTATGTTTACAAAGGATAAAGCGGGGAATGCTTTTAGGGGGTTTGTTAGTCACTTTAAAAAAGCCATTTTCATTTAGCCCTAGAAGTACTTTTTTCTGGCCCTACTGTACCTCCAACACAGACACCGACCAGCGGTAGCCTTCTCCAAATCCGCTCTGCCGCTCAGTCCGCCTTCAGGCTCCTCTGAGCCTCAGGCGTTCTACTCAAGAACGCCATCTCACCTTACCTCTGTTGTCCAGTTGATGTGCCCCCCCTGTTTTGAGAACTCAATTAATTTTGCACAAACATGGACCGAGGGCAGGAGAAAGACACGAGTCCACCCAAAAAAAAAACTTTAAAAATGCAAGATCCTGCGCTTGAAAACAGTCATCTTCATAATGACTGGCTAATTGTCTGTTGTTTCTGGTGTAAGTCTAGTTTACACAAATGTATAAATAGTATTTTATTCATCTGTGTAGGATTGTATATAGGCCTAACTTACCTAAGTCACATTCTAATGGCGATCTCTACACTACTAGTTTTTCAGCACTTTGCTGCCATGGCGCGAAGATGTCTGCCTTCACAAATGAGAAATAACTCCTATGTAATCAGAAATAGCAATTTCTAAGGCAAGGCAAACATAAACATTGAGACTTTCATTTCGTAGGTGATAATAATGACATACATATTGATAATATATTTTACATTTCGATCAGTAAATCCATGTAATACTACACACTTTACCTTTAAACCCTGTTAAGTGGACTTTGGAAGTCAGCAAATTAGTAAATAGAATCCAGGATAAGTGCAGCCCTTCTAGGAAGGCCTCAAAAGTTTGTTAGAAAAATGACAGATCTCTGAAATACAATGATGCTTGTCTCTTTCTCTCTTAGGTGATGAAGAACCAATCAGTGAAAACTGCTGAATCCCTCACTGACGAGGAAACGACAGCTGATTTCAGCGACCAGCGAAGTGACGACGAGTACTGCCCTTGCGATGCTTGTGTCCGCAAGAAACTAGCGTTTCGGCCTTTCAAAAAGAATCCGCTGGCAGCCGAAGCCCCCGTGATGATGGAGTTTGACCTCCTTAAGATACTTCAGCTAAAGAAATGCCCAGTCCCTCCCCCTGCTGTGCCATCAGTGGCAAGGGAGGAAAGGCCGAATACAGATGAAGATGGCAGGAATTTAGGTATTGTGGAAGAAGAAGAGGAAGAAGAAACCAAAGAGGACATCAAAGCCGATGTTGTTTTAGAGGAGACAATTCCAGAAGAAGAAGAGGAGGAAGAAGAGGAAAAAGATGAGGAAATAGGAATTGTAGAGCAGGAAAAGGAAAATGGTACTGAAGATGACGAGCTGGTAGTAAGAGAAAGAACTGAGGAGGTCACAGATCAAGGTGAGACGTCTGAAAATGAAGAGGAAGAGGAGGAGGAAGGAGGATGCACTTGTCAGTCTGAAAGCAACAAAGAAGAAGAGGGTGACGCAGATGAAACAAGCGATTGCACAGATGACGAAGGGGAGGCAGGAGAAGACGAGAATGGGCGACATGAGTCAGGAACAGAAGACGACGAAGAAGAGAGCGATAAGGAGACAGTGAAGGATGCCACAACATGCGAGGAGGAGAAAGAATCAGAAGAGGACGCATCTGCAAAAATTCCAGAAAATACGTCGGTGGAGGAGCTGAGGGAGGAAAACATCAGCACATCAGTGGAGGAGGAAGATAACGGATCAGGAGGGGAGGAGTCACAGGAAGAGGAAACGCAAGGAGGCAGTGAGGAGCAGGATGAAGAGGCCTCTGAGGAGGAGAGAGCTTCACAAAAGGTAAAAAAATCACTAATTCATGTGCTGAAACATGTAAAAACAACAACCAGGAGAGTTTATTCAGTAAAAATTAACCCTAAATGAAAATAGATTAGAATTACAATATATAAACATTTAGAATTTTACAGTTTTATGTCAAAATGTTCCTACTAAGTTCTGTTAGTCTTCAGTTCTTGCTTTTTCTTCATACTTTTTCTTCATACTTCTATAATAATAACAATAAATATATCAAGAAAACTTGATAACAAAGAGGTACTTTTCAGGTAAAGGTTTCATTCATTAAATTTTCCAAACAGGTTTATTCCAATAAAACAAGTGTTTGCACCTGGTTGCAACTAGTTGTTCAGGACTTAGTTGCAACAGCTACAATAAAAGTATTTAATTTAACTAGACAAACGACTTTTGCATGGCTGTTGAAGAAAATTGCTCCTGAATTTTGATTCACAGACGATGAATTTGTTTTCAGCATGAACACTTTAAGGGTCATGTTACAGTATCTTAATCAGCGTTTTCTGCTGCAGTACAATTTATAGTGCCATCAATATAGAAGAACTCTGCAACCCAGGATACCCATCAATCTGTCTCCATGGCAACAGAGTCAAGGATTAATTGTGGTATATGCAATATGTACCTTTATGTTGTTTTTTTTTTCTGTCACCAGTAGTTTTGAACTAGCAACTCTCCCAGGGAGGTTATTATGTTCTTTTTAACTTTTTTTTGTTGTTGTTCTATTGTACTGTGAATCAAAAAAACTGGATTTAACTAAAGTAAATAATCATTTGAAACTTCCTAAATTAGTTGTTTTCATATATTTTGTTGGTTTTCAGATTTTGTTTGTCATACTTCATGTCGTCAGAGAGGTTCTTTCAGATTTTTAAATATTTAGGTGTAGCTGTAATCAGACATAAATGAACTGAAATTTACTAGAAATGATGTGTTTGATGATGGGGAGACAATAAGCCTACATAGATTTGTTTCATTTGTAAATGAGATCAGCATCTCTAGATTAAATGTCCTATTTATTTAGGTCGTCTCTGTGTTACACTGACAATAGTGCAAGGGAAAAATGCGAGCTAATATTGGACCATGTCCAATAATGTTTGCTGTACCAAATCTACAAATAGGTTTGATATGGTAGAACCCTCAAGACATGGAGTGAAAAGGGATGAGAAATTGGAGTTAATTTGCAGCATTTTCTCAATATCATACAACATATTCCTTTGGCACCTTTCAAATATCTTGCAACTATAGTGGAAACCATGAAATAGACATCATCCGGTCTTTATAGC